AATGCGTGTTTTTCGGTGGATGCTTATTTTCAAATGGTAGAAACCTCTCGTTTGCTGACTGCCTCAACTGGCGGTACTCATTTAATACTATGAACTTGGATGGAGAAATTGTGCGTTATTTCTCCCTCATAGACAGTTCTGGGATAACTCAGCAGAAGGCAGGGGTATCAGCATGGCAACGCAAGAAGAAAAACGAAGGAAAATACTAGTATTACGGGTTGGGGGACATCTGACGTGAAAAAATCAGATTCGTTCCCACAGTATTAGTAACCCAAGGGTCGCTCAATATCAATGTCAGAGGAGCACACAAGCAAACCAATAAAAAGTGGTGCGTATAGAGATGAAGACGATGAAGATAATGATGATGATGATGATGATGATGAACCCTTGAAGGAGTCGGGTGGCATTTAAGCATGTCGGAATGGGCGCGTTTATGCATAACATCAAGAGGTAAGATCCAATTGAGTGGATGCTCTCATCGTCAACCACAAAAGCAAATAAATCTACATACTTGAGATGAGCTGCCTGAGGATCAACAGCTGAGAGAAGAAAGATAAATAGAAGGCTATCAAATATTGAAACAACAGCTTCCAGGCTATGAGATGTAACAGCCATAAGATTTGTCCGCGGGGGCCGGGTCGCGGAAATTAGACGTCGCGATGCGTAATATTGTATGGAACAAGGGCACAGAAGTACTGCGAAAGATGCAGAAGGCAGTTTTCTTGGAAACACCCATTACTCGGACTTTCAAAGTTGCAACCTGAAGGATAAATAACTAGAGAGAGGACTGCAAGCACAATCTAGCTTTTAAAATTTTCCTAGATACACGCATAATTATTACATAGATATTTTCATGTTCGCTGTTTTTATTGTTTCTTTGTTTCCTACTTATTATTATATATGTTTCGTTTAATAAATAGGCGTTGCCTCGTGTTGACAGATTTATTCGATGACAAGAATCGTGATTGACATTAATTCAATAGATTGATTTAAAAGCGTTAGATTATTATGTTTTAAGTCAGTTTTTCAGCAGAATCGAAGTGAGAAAGAAGTTATTTTGTTATCGTTTTTCTGTCTCTAAATCCGCTTACCTGGAGAATCTGCTAACCCGTAAGGTGAGACTGTTGTAACGACCCGCCACAGAAGTAAGTTTATATTGAAGTTTTTTAATTTAGTTGCAAGATAAAGACTTGATTTGCGTTTGTTCTAATTGCGAATTATAAATGTATTTCTTTTAGATCGAATAATTATTAAAGCTTGGCTTAATATTATACGGTTTGTGGTGGTCATTTGATCTAACCAGTTCCGAGTAAGGAAACAATATATATATTTATATATGTTTGTGTTCGCCAGCCGGAAGGTCCGTGTTGGAAAAACTCTGCCCGAGGTCTTGAGTACCGCACTCCAGACAGAGGGCACAGTTTTTTCCAATACGGACCGACCAAGGCTGGTGAATAACATTTTCATTTTTTTTCAATAAACTTAACGAAATTCTTTCCAAAAGAACCCAATGATTTACAGCTGTAATTAAGGTAAGACCCTCCATAAACTGAACAGTTTTTGAGCGAGCAAATGGTAGTTAAAATGGAGGTAATGCAAATTAAAGAGAGATGCTTCACCGAAACATTTTCATTTGCGTAATGATAAAGATGATTTAAAAGGCTTCCAATAAAATTTGGAACATAATTTTTACAGGTATCTGTTAAAATCTGAGACCTGTCAGTTAGAGAGCGCGTATGAAAAAAAAAAGCGCAAGTACACTTTTGAAAAAACAACGGGACTAGTTTGGCAAGGACTGTCACTACAATGTTTTATTCAAAGGTGCACTGCGCCAGGAGGATCAATAAAGATTTGCAGTCCAAACCTCACAGCAAAATTCGAACATCGAGAGTTAAAAAATATGCGAGGATGGACAACTTCTGACGTAAAAAAGATAGAAAATTTAATGAGAACGTTTCGGTCAGAGACCTCCTCCAGTTACTAATAACTGAAGAAGGTCTTTGACCGAAACGTTTTTATTAAATTTTCTATCTTTTTTACGTCAGAGGTTGTCCATCCTTGCATTTTTTTTTACTCTCTCTCCTTCTCTCTACTTCTCTCTCCTTCTCTCTCCCTCTCTCTCCCTCTCTCTCTCTCTATCTCTCTCCCTCTCTCTCCACATATTTATATATATATATATATATATATATATATATATACATACATGTGTATATAACATGATTTGTATATACATATCAACTCCAATGGCTCACGGATTATGGCAGGTTTAGCTTTTGGTATAAAAAATGTATTGCGCTTTATAAAAATAAAAACTTGGCCAGATACAAAAGCGTTGAGGAGAAGTAGAAGAAGCCCCTTCTACCACACCCTCCCCCAACGTTTTTAAGGAAACTGGAAACGTCTCGGCACTTTCGAGTGAAAAACCTTAGAAGAAAGGGCACAAATAATAATAACAAAAGTAATAATAATGATAATAATATCAATCCTGGGCAAACTAGCAGATGTAGCAATTATCAAATACACAAAGAACACCCAACGAATGACCAGATATGGTAGTGTTTACATACCACAACACGAGGACTTGTGAATTCATTGACGTGGCAAAACCATCAGACAGAAACATCATTAAAGTCCACCGAAAACGGTCCAAATATAAGGATTTGGCGGGGCCTTTAATGTATGATGCATTTGAGAAGGGAAGGACCTAAAAAAGACCTGGGCGGATCTCTTCTAGAAACCAAACATAGAAAAACTATCATGAATATTACCACGCTGTCTGTATCCATCTAGAAAGGTCCTTATCTTGCAAATACTACTAAACCCTTCCCATCGAGATTTTATTTTCAATGTTTCAAATTGCCGATCAGAGCTGTATCACTTCCATGACGCTTATTTAAGGCAATTTGATGGCTTACAACCAGTCTCCCTCAAACTATTTGCATAACTTGTGGTAGAGACAATTACCAAAAACTGCGTCAAAGATGGGTAACACCAAAATGGGTCGATAATTTCTTTTATCTAGGTGTTCGTGAGCTTGGAAGACAGGTGTTACCTGGCAATAGGCACCTCACCCATGCAAATGCAAAAATTAATGAGCTCAGCTAACGATGTCCCTTTGCGACGCAAGCCACCAACAGCGAGGAGAAAAAAACCGAACACAGACTGGGGAGAGACACCTCTTTATAATCAACCTGATTACAACATTTCATCGCGTCCTCCTCAACTGTAAAAACAACGACCGCATCCTCTGAAAGAAACTCGGTCTTCTTCGCAGAAATATAGCGAGAATCAACATGAAAGAAGTCATTAAAAGAACTTCATCCGCTGCCATTTTTTCTAAAGTCGCGCGCTTTGGTAAATATACAATTTAATTTAGCGGCTCAAATTCCGGGTGAAATTGCACGGTGAAAACAGATGCCATATTTAACTAGAAAATGTCGGTCTGGAAAGAATAATAAAAATTCATCACTGTGTGATTAATAAAGGGCTTTTAATCCACTCGTGTTCATATATATCATACATCGAAGTAAAAAGAATGTTTTAATTTGAGCTAACAAAATAATTTTTCGGTCTCTGAGGCACAAGAACGCATCAACCCAAGGGGACACCATATTTCAAAGCCCCTACGATGCCACATTTTTCCATTATCAAAACGTTTTTCTGCATGTGCTGATAAAATCGACCAGCCAGTGCAGAATGCCCGTGTCAGCTGCAATGTCACTGCGTATTTCATTGCATTTATCTTCTTGTCTTGCCAGCGTACCATCCTTGAAACGTTTCTCTCATAAACAATAATATGAATAATGATGAAAACTATAGTTGACTCGTTTTGACGCGTTTTTATGTTTCTTGATGACATCATTTATGTGACAGCTAACATTTCGAAGAAGGAAGCCGTTTCAGGACAAAATGTCTCTGAGGTCTTCTAGGTTGACTGTTACAGATTTCTTTCTTGTTAGTGTCGTGCTGCTTGAATTGAAAAGAAAACCGTAAAAATCTGTTCCCACAAACCTCAGGAAGACGCCACTCCCTTAAAAAGTCCCGCAAAAATTTCATTCTACACGGTAATATTGTGAGCACAATCGGAAGCTATGAATTTACTGCAAATCTCAGCACTGGCAGACGGCGACGTAAGACAGTTGATAACTTGGTTGCAAGGGCATGGATTGCTGCCAAATCTGCTTCGTTGTGGAAATTGCAACCTGGATATGGTTATTTCTGCCCAAAACGTAGATCACGTCGACGGATATCAGTGGTAAGTGTTACAGTTAAAATGATATAGAAAATTATCAGTTGTCAATTAAAATATTAAAAAAACCGAAAACAGACCTCAACCGAAATATACCAACTCAGCGGTTAGGAACGCGAAAGGCAACACGGGTTAAGATGTTTTATTTTCAGGTCTACATTGCGAGGTGGTAATGCAGCGATCGTGAACTGCGAGCTTAGACTTGTTTCCAGCTTTGGTTGTCACATCTCCTCACTTTTCGGCGCTCAGCGATCGAAACGTTACTTTATTCTTGGGATAATGTTCCCGTGGATGACAAATTCGATGAATTATGTAAACTTCAGCGGCATGCTGGCGGACCTAATGCCGGAACACCAGGCATCGAAAATGCCACTAAAGAATTCAGCATACTCACTGAACAACATCTTCTAAACAAAAATAATAATAATAACAATGATAATAATAATAATAATAATATTAATAATAATGGTTACGGTGATGATGATAGCAGAAAAAGATGTTTATATATAAGCCCTGTTGTATACAGTAAATATTAAGCAGATTGCCAGATGCTTTCTTACTAATATGCAATTTTCTGATACTTATTATCGTTCTAGGCGCTGTAGAGGATGCAAAAAGAAGAGAAGCTTAAGGAGTTATTCCAAGGTTACCAATAGGAAAAATCTTAGTCTTTCTGTACCTGTGGTCAAATGACGAGACCCAAGCCACGGCAGCACGCATGCTGGAGATCAATCCCAGTGAATTATCGAAAATGTCTCAATTGCTGAGAGACGTGGTTACCTGGGACCTTCAGCAGCGTCCTATCACTCCATTCGGAGCTCCTTTCGTGGCAAAAGTGGACGAAAGTAAATTCAACCACAAAGCAAAGGTGATAACGATATGTAAAAACGTCTCAATGAAATAGAAATTATCAATGGTTTTATCTATATAAGAGCAAGAACAGACAACTGGGTGTTTGGAGTGGTACCAACACGCTATTCTCCAGCGCGAGGGTATTTCGAGGTTTTGGAGCGTAGAGATAGAGCTAGTTTGATACCCATCCTGCAGAGGGTTTTGCTGCCCGGTACAGAAGTCCACAGTGATGACTGGGGGGCTCATTTCAACATAACAGCCCATGCAGCAACTGTCCAAACTCACGGAGTTGTAGTACATGCCGCTAATTTTGTTAACCCCGTTACTGGTGTGCATACGCAAAAGGAGGAATCGGCTTGGTCAAGGTTGAAGTACAAGGTTAAAATGAGGAAAGGTGTCAGGAACTATAATTTGCAATCTTTCCTCAACGAGCATATGTGGCGAGACTGGATAGGGGAGGCTGACGTTTTTAATAATATTATTGAAGTTCTTACGCGATGATCCGGATTTACTATTTAAGGAAAAGTCAGGAGTGGCTTATGCACAGGATTTCGTCATTCGTGTCATAGTTTATGGCATCTTAGGACATCGTAACGATGTTCTACTTAGTGTGTGGGATAAAAAAGTTTGAAATAACTAATGGCACTCTTAATAGATATTTGGTCTGATGGAAATACTGCAATGGCTACTGATCTCATTATGGCTAATAGTAAAATACTCCATTTAGCCACACCAATTGATGCCAATGATGCTCTAAATAAATAATATGTGGACACACCAGCAAACAATTTATTGCAAACTGATTGAACAAAACCAATGTGCGCTGATTTTAATATGTCCAATTAAAAAAATAAATCTAGTCACGCCAACAAATAGTAATGACACTGCAAATAAATCATATGTGGATGGTGTTAAACAAGCAGCAACCTTGGGTTCTTACCTGTATACTTGTTTAATTATGAAATGGGTCATGATAATAAAAATGAAACCAAATTCTAATAGTCAAGATCAAAATATGCAGTTTCCAATAATTTACATTTAAGACTATACAGTGAGAAATTAAGGTTTGATGTGGTTGGAACATATGAATTTCATTAAAGATATGGTTGCAAGGGGCCTGCAACACATTTCTACTACAAAGCATATGATACTTCTGGATCCACTAGTAAGCGATACAATGTAATTACACAAAACACACACAATAAATAGATAGATGTTACATTTTTTGGAATATTTGGAACATTTACCGGTCATTCCATATCACTCGGTGTAGATAATGACACTCTCGATGCCGAGTTTTATGCACAATTGATGATAGGAAAAAAATATCTGACTAATATAAAAATATTATATGTGAGCTTCAAAAAGAGACGTGTTATAAACTTCAATCATACAGATAACTCACAAGACAAAAAGGCAATAAATGAAGTTACATCATCATACAAATACTATCATAAGCAGCTTCTATTGTTACAAAAAGCCTTGGGGTCCAAGAAACTAAATCTGTTCCGCAATTTGTCATCGTCTTGTTTAATAGTAAGTGGTCCTATAGCTGGAAAGGTGACAACGAGTCCCATCCTACTTGGCATTATACTTGGTAGTGGTTTGACATAATTAAAAACGTACTGAGACATTAAAGATTTCAAGAAGATCGAATTACGTCGATTTGCTTTTACCATCTATATGAACACACTCACTGATTTAAGGTCTTTTTTAAGAGGAGTGTAATTTAATAACGAGAGTTATTTGGACCAATTGAAAACTGTAGATAATATTATCATAGATATGTGTTCAATAGTTGATGTTTTAGAGTAACAGTACAAGTAGTTTACTTGCGATGAATTATTTATTAAGTATCTTGTTGTAGTCATTCTTAATTAGTTTCAATGTCAATTTAAAGTACTCCAAGCAGTTGAGAAAGATTGTGACATTTTTTTCTCAGTTGACCTTTGGCTGTTAAACAAGTTAAACAATTTCAGCTGGATTGTCCAGATTGTGCAGTTAAACGGATTAAGCTAGTTATGCATTTTTTTCAGTAGAACCAATTAAGGCAGTTTGATCGTTTGATGTACTTTAACCAACTGAGATAGATTGTTGAATTTGTGTATTTTTCTATCTTTGCAGGTTCAACTATCTTCCTAGTTAGTAAGACTATCAAAAACCGCTAAGGTCGATAAATTTCACTATCTTTCTCAGCTGGTTGAACTAGTTCAAATGGTCAGATTAGCTTCAATTGTTGCAGAAGACAAAATGGATGACCAGCTTGATAGGTTGAACTTCACAAACGTATCAGTCTAGTTGAACTAGTTAAAGTGGTTTAATAATTAAACTAGCGAAAACAGTAAGAGTGCACAAATTGCATTATCTAACACAAATGATCGATGTAGTTCAAATGCTCAAAGTACGTTAATTGGTTAAACCACAAAAAATGCATAACTAACTTGATAGGATCAACTGTAACAACCGTACGATCAAGCCTTATTGGATATACTCGTTAAATAGTCAAAGTAGCTGAGAAAGTTAAACTGCACAAATTACACAGTCTATCTTAATTGTTTTAAGTTGTTCGAATGGCTATACTAGGTTCAATGGTTTAACTGGACAAAATGCATTACTGGCCTAAATAATTGGACTGGTTAAAAAGTCAAGGAGAACTAAGGAGGACAGCCAAAATGCTTGAAGTAGTGCAATGGTCGAACTACCTTCAATTCTTGAAGTGCACAAACGGCAAAATGTAGCCAAATTTGTTTAAGAAGTTAAATGATCAAAGTAGCTTTATTAGTTAAATCAAGTAAATAGTCCAACCGGCGAAGACAGTTAGATCGGCGTTACTGCACAAACTGCACAATCTATCTGAAATGGTTTCACTGATCAAATAGGCAAACTAGGAAAAGCAGTCAAACAAATTGCACGATCTATCTTAATTGGTTAAAAAAATTTGATGGTCCATCTAACTTAAACGGGTCAGCAAGAGAAATTTCAGAACTAGGTGATTTGATTAAACTGGACAAAACCAATAAGTAGCCTTAATGGTTTGACTGGCTAAATGTCAATCGAGCGATTACAGTTTGACCATTTTAAACTACTTCAACCAGTAAAGATGCATTGTGCTATTTGTGAAGTTGAAATGTTTTTGCTAGTACCACTACTTGATCATATGAACCAATCCATCTAGTTTGATTATCTTAACTAGTTAAACCAATTAAACCTGAGCAAAACTGCACAAATTGCAAAACCTATCTTAATTGGTGGAAGTGGTTCACATAGTCAAACTAGCTTAAATGGTTTAACTAAAAATATGTAACTATGATATGCACTTTGTCCGGTTCAACTGTTTTCAACTGAACAGTGTTTAACCAGCCTAATACATTCAACTGCACAATTTGAACAATTTAGCTCAAATACGGTCTAACAGTTGAACTAAGGTCAACTGAGAAAAAATTGTACAATCTATTTTCACTGGTTGAAGTTCTTTAAATGGTCAAATTAACGTCAAGCAATAAACGACACAAACTCAAACAAACGTTTTTACTTTGTTCTCGCTAAATTACCCTGTTTTCAACTCTATAGCACCAGAAACATGTCCTCGTTTGTTTGCAACTAAATTAGGCCATTTTAATCTTTATCGCGCGTAAAACACTATTGCACTTGTTTGCCGCTGAATTAAGCGGTTTTTAGCTTTATCACACCGGAAAAAGTTTTCTGCCTGTTTGCAGCTAGTCACGCTGATTGTCGCTATATCTCAGTCAAAACAACGCTTTTTCTCGTTTCTTGCCAAATTACGCTTTTGTCAGCGTTATCGCACTGAAAAGGTTTTTTTCCCTGGTTTGCTCTGAATCAAGCAGTTTTTAGCTTTATCTCGCATGAACTCAATTCAGCGGCAAACAAGTGGAAAAATGTTTTTGGTGAGATAAATGTGAAAAAGACGTAATTTAGTCGCATGGGAGCTTAAGACTCAGTCTTTAGTAGGATCGAACTGTAAATAGCGTTAATTTAGCAACAAACAAACAAAAACACATTTTCGTTGTCATAAAGCTAAAAACAGCGTAGCTTAGTGATAAAAAAAGAAAAACGGTGCTTTTCATGAGATCAAGCCCAGAACAGCCCAATTAGCTACAAACAAACAAATACATGTTTTCGGTGCCAAAAAGCTGACAAAAGCAAAACTTGGCCACAAAAGTCACCAAAATGTTGTATTTAGTGAGATACAGCTAAAATCAGCGTGATTAGCTGCAAACAGGCAAAAAAACTCCTTTGATGTGACACAGCTAAGAAAAGCGTAATTCGGTGGCAAAGAAGTCAGTTTGTCCAGTTTTTTTTGCGTATCACTGTTTTTGCTTGTTCGATTGCTTAAACCATTTGACCCAATTTAGGTTGTTGATGGATTTGATCCGTATGAGCCAATTAAACCAACTCAGCCATTTTCTGAGGTTTGTGCCGTCTGAATGTTTCCGTCGTTTGCAATTTTTTAGTTTGACTATTCCGCCACTTAAGCTATTTAAGCTGGTTATGCTTTTAATCCGATAAAATCCTAACCCTAAGCTGTATTACCATCTTAGCTACTTTAGAGTTGAGCCATCGAAGCTAGATTGTGGAGTTTTTGCAGTTGAACCGATTAAGATAGTTATGCTTTTTATCTGGTTGAGCCATATCTGTTAGTTTGACCACTTGAACTACTTCAACCAATTGACAAATGTTATGCACTCTTTGCAACTGAAATAGATTGTGCAATTAGTTTGACTTTTAAACCACTTGAATTATTTGAGCGAAATTGTTCAAATTGTTGCAGGTTGTCGGCAAATTTACAAAGTAGAGCAATGGAACAAGAAATATAATGTTTTCGATTCCCTAGGGACTGACATCATTGTTAGATGACAATTATGTGCAATTATGTGCAATTATGTGAATTCGAGGGTTCTTGTGGCTGGCAGCTCAAATCGCATGGGAGTTTCGTCCATGTCTAAGTTGTGGCTTAACTGGTAGTCATGACGTCTCTGGGCCCTCAACACAAACCGATGGAATTGGACGATCTTCTCCTCCATGTCTGCTTGTAGACGCTGCGCCAAAGTTGTTTTTGCTCTCATAGATACAGTGTGGTGACGTTTCCAGTTATTGTACCACCCTAAACATGCCGTGAACTCCGGATTGGAGCTGAGTTCCTTCGCCTTTAACCGGAGAATTCTGCTATTAACTGAGAGACCAGCAAAAAATAGAACAGTACACTGTTAAAGGACAAGGTATTTTACGTGCACGTGTTGCATGTTAACATTGATCTTCTAGGAACTTTGCAAACACTATTGTTTTCATAGTGAAAATAGTGAAAAAGCCCAAGGTTGAGGTTGCGCCTTATAACCGGGTATTTAGGCGAAATTTTCGGTTTAACAACTTGAATGAAACGAGTTAAAAAATTCAGGGTGGGTCTTCTAACCGAGTGTGCCTCATAACCGAGAAAATGCGGTGTTTCTAAGAGGGATTTTGTCATCCATGTAGGAGTCTCTTTC